TTCATTATACTTCTTTGTTTCTCCTGTCTTCCAGTGTCTACTGCTGAGTAGTAGCACAGAGTAAGTACTCCAGTTAACAAAACAGTATTGAGTATCTTTTATGTGTACTCTTCTAGACAGGTTCTGTGAGGAAAAGCAAGTTCCTTCTTGCTTTCGAACTAGTGAAACTGTTAAGCTATTTGTGGCCAAAGGAAATCATTTTGTTGCAGTTGTCTTCTCCTTTTGTTCATCAGCTGGTTCTAATTCCTATCTTCTGTGTTGGAATGGTCCTGCCCTCCAGTTTATCAATGTTGAATGCAAATTATAATTAGTGTTCAACTACTCAAAGTTCAGAATCTATCAAAGTCTTTATCAGCTGTATTTCTAGGGTTCCATAGACTATTGCTTCTGATTTTATATGGCACCAATTCATTAAGAGAGGTCGTCAGTACTTCAGTTGTAAAAATTCCCATGACATCTGCTTGTTTCATGGGAATGGTTCCTTGCTATACAGTGTGATGGTGGGAGAAAAATGCGCACTGTCTATGGTGTGCTGGAGCTGGCTTTCAGTGGCTTCTTAGAACCAATTATTAACATCTCTTTCCAACTCTGCACCCATTGATGTTACATTGTTGCTTAAAATTGGTCACAGTGAGAATATTTATACCACAGAAATTGTTAAGTGCTACTCGTCGATTCTATTTTTAAATATAGTTGCTAAGTGTTAATCTTAAGTGCTACTCCTCAATTCTTTTTTTAAATATAGTTGTTAAATGTTAACCAGTCCACCACTATTAGATGAAAACTATTTGCTTCTGTATGCCTCCCTCTATTACGCTATAATAAATGCCTCCTTGCCTGTAGCCACTTCTGGCTTTACTGGATGATCCATTCAAATCTATTTTCATGTAGGCAATAAACAGGCCTTGTAAAACATAAACCCAAAACAAATATAAGGGACAAGACATGGGCCTTGGCTTTAAGTTGTTAAATTACTGCCAAGCAGTTTGCGAAAATATCTTAAACAGAATTGAACTGAATTGAATCTGATCATAGTGTTCAGTTGTCCAATGTGATAAATATCTCTTCTTTCTGTATTACTTAAGAGAAAACAGTAGAGATATACATTTTCAAAAATGTTTTGCCATCAATAAAGCATTACAAATTTTTGTCAATAAAAATGGCATTAAAAGGAACCGAAAATGCCAATAGGGTTGCAAATGAGGAATATTAGCTACCTTCAACTTTACCTAAAAAAATCAAATTTCATAGAAAGAAGTAACGTATGCTAAAGAAAATTTCCCGGCCGGGCGCGGTGGCTCAAGCCTGTAATCCCAGCACTTTGGGAGGCCGAGGCGGGCGGATCACAAGGTCAGGAGATCGAGACCATCCTGGCTAACACGGTGAAACCCCGTCTCTACTAAAAATACAAAAAAACTAACCGGGCGAGGTGGCGGGCGCCTGTAGTCCCAGCTATTCGGGAGGCTGAGGCAAGAGAATGGCGTAAACCCAGGAGGCGGAGCTTGCAGTGAGCCGAGATCGCGCCACTGCACTCCAGCCTGGGGGACAGAGCAAGACTCCATCTCAAAAAAAAAAAAAAAAAAAAGAAAATTTCCCAGCTAGGAGTTATTTAAACAAAAAACATTGTTATGGGGGAAAATGTTGTTCTACTGTTTTTTAAAGGAAATGATTTTCCTGATACCCCCCACTACCAACAACAGCAAAAAATATATAGTAGACACAGAATGAGAAAAAGCACAAGAATGAAAAAAATAATGCCTTTTTTATCTACATGATGTTGAGCCACAATTTGTCTGGGCCTGAGATTTTTAAATAAAAAGTAAATAAAATTAATGGACTAGATTAGTGACCTTAAGACATATTCCCATGGTGGGGAATGTGGTCCACATTGGGGAGGAAACAGTTGCATATTTAAATCACCCAGAAGTTTTATCTTTGACTTAGAGATTTTGGAAAATCTCTGCCCATCCTGATGTTCAGCATCCTTATCTTACTGAGTCACTGTTAGTTTTGGGAGCTTTACTTCTCAGGTGGAAGAGGGCTGGTGAACAAACTGAGCATTGGTGAATCAGATGCTCTCCTATTGTTCTAGCTCTAACATCCTATAACAAATGCTTTTAGAAGAAAATTAATTTCTATTCATGGACTGCCAGTCCCTCAACAATTGTTACAGATCAATTCAGCAAGCAAGCAGCTATGCCATCCTTGAAAATAAATTACTATGCAAGTGAAATCAGATAACAGACGGGAGTACAATTATTTATTTAGAAATGTATCTGAAGTTTAAATTTATCTCTTATTGACACACAACAATTTCATCAATAAATTTAAAACCTATAAATTATTCTGCAAATGCACATTTAACTTCTTATTTACATTTTAAAAGCATCACGTAACATGAGTGTCGATATTAGAAGCATTTGGCCCCTGAGATACTGCTTTAACTTATTCCCTTGCTGCAGAATTCCCAGTATTGTCATGACTGAATACTAACAGAGTCTGTATTATAAAAATACTTTACCCTAGCTATTTTCAAAATAAAATATGCTACATGAACATTAATGAAAAAAGCTGAATATAATGAACAATGCCAAAAAGCTGACTTTTCAAACTTTTTTTAGTAATTGCTTTTTCTTTCCAGCGTGGTTTATTACACACACAAAAACGCACACACACAGTGGTGCGCCAATAAAAATTTAACAATTGGCTCTGCAGGGGGCAACAAAAACACCCTGATTTGTAGGGTCTGCCAATTTTCATGTTGTAAATCCTCTGTGGCTGATTTCATGCTGCCAACACACCAACAATAAATGCATAGTTGGGAAGAGAGGTACAGAATTGGCCGTCATGAGCTGGTAGAGTCAGCACCAGCACATGGCTGCCCCAGAGCCTCTCCATCATGCACATAAATATATCATACAGAAATGCATCATATAAAGTGTAGTATACATACGATTTCTCACAAAAGAGAAAGTCATACTACGTGACTTATAACGAAGTCATGAATATTGTTCCTAGATTGAATCCACAATCATTTTAACTATAAATTCGTTAAGCCAGTGAACTATAGTTTAGGGCAATAATTTTTAATTGTTAAGGTAGTTGGAATGGTTAAAAAGTGGCTTAGCCTTCTCACTCAAGTAGAGTATAAGTTGCACATTTTAGAATTAATCATTAACACACTAAGCAGGCCTGCAAAAAAAATCATGAATATGTATTTCCCAAAATGAATAAATCAAACACCTGAAAACTGCAAACTTTTATGTGCAGCATGAAAAAATGCCAATAGCAAGAATTTATATACCTGATGCTTGGCCTGTTTATCTTCATGGAGATTAATAGAGCGAATAAATATTTATAATAATGGTGTTAGAACATGCTGAATAGTATACTGTATTAAAGTTACATGATCTTGTCTTGAATTTTGTGTTTGGAATAGTACCAAGAAATATTCTGAGGGAGAAATTGAGTGGCAATTTTCAAATTAATAAATATTTATTGAGCTACTACTGTGTGCAAGGCACAGCACCCAGGCACTACATGGGACACAAAGATAAATGCAGACAGTCTTCTCAATGAAATTACAATCAATAAGGGATATAAGACAAGAGGTCAAATATTTAACATACAGGAACTAGTAGGATCTATAGAAAGGAAAGATCCTATTCTTTGGGAAGATATAAAAAGTCTTTTGGGGTAAGGTGGTATGAAAAGGAAACGAAGTAATGATAACTTGAACTGAAGATGAATAGAATAGGTTCTACTAAAATTTGTCCCAGCCCAGCCTAAGGTGCTAGGTCACCCGTGGTTAAATTCTGTTATTTCTGCTGCTTAATGAGTACAGGACAATATGTTCTGGTCATCATAGGAATTCTCAAAACAAGGAATCGTTCTGCCTCAGCAGGTGGCATCCTGAGGATTTTGCATTCTGTCTTCTAGTTTTTTAATGAGCAACAGGCCGAACACGCGGATGAGTGTGAAGCAGCTTCTGTGGACTGTGTCAATCTGCACGCTAGGGTGAATGAGTAGAGACGGCAGTATGGAAAACAACTCCAGTGACTCCCTTAACCTTCTTTGAGGAAAGGAAAAACTCGGGATAAAACTGAGTATTTTTTCAAGTCCCACTGGTGAGAGAAGCATGTCATAACCGAATTGCATCTGTTTGGGTATCATATTGGTTTGGGGTGTAAATTAGTTATTCAAAGAGTAGTATCTGTATGAATAATTGATTAATTATTTCATCCTACATCTTTTTTCCTAAAATAACTTAGGAAAACAACACCCTGATCAGTTTTTCTCAAAACTAGGCATTTGTAGCCCATATTTTTGCTAGCAGGAGTTGAATGTAGTTTTTTAAAGCTGAAAAAAAAACCATCACATTTTCTAAAACTCTTTATAGTGAGAGCATAGGTCTTAGGAAAAAACATATTAGCATTAATAAGTAAATTGTCTCAAGTCGTACTAAAGCACATTACTAGGATCAGTAAAAAATACATATGTACAATTGTGTGTTAGATTCTGTAGCTAGCAAACGAAAAATTTTCCAAGCTGACTTTAACTGGAGTCCATCTTGGTAGATGTTTCAACTATTGTCACATCAACCTTGAGAAGAGTTCAAACACTAAGAATGAATGAGGGAAGAGGTTGTGGCTGAAAGGATTCCTGACCTCCACATTGACTTGACGGTGAAAAGGGCATTATGGCTCTGAATTTTGATGAGGCGCATTTACCCTTTAGCCCATGTTAACATTTTCTTTAGGATTCATTACTATCTTAAAATGATTGATGAAAAAGTTTTTGTGCTGGATCATTACAATCAGAATAATCAGAATGAATGCCACACTGAATATCAAAAGAAATAAAACTAAAATCATTATAAGGAAACAACCATGTGATATTTTTCCATCTGCTCTTCAAGCAATGTTATTTGTTGCAACCCCTACAAAAACGTCAACATTACACAAGTACTAGTTTATTGGTTATTCACAGAGAGTGAGTACCTGAAGGAGAAGGCTGTCCTTTTACTACGCCATTTTTAGTCTTCTCTTCTGAGTTCATTACTTCCTTGTAGATAAGTTCTGTAAGAAACAGTTAGCTGTGTTATTATAGAAAACAAATTTCTCCTTTATCCACAGGGAAATTCATTACTTAATGGAAAGTAATACTGTTTTGATAAGGTTGAGTAAATTAAAAATCAATTGAGATTCCTTTACTGCTCTATTTCTATTTCTATATTGCCTTGTAATTAGCAGAGAGCTTGGCACAAATAGGTATCCAATAAAGCAGCTGAATAAATCAATGCATGAAAATTTATTTCTACGTACATGAAACATACTATTTATTTCTCTCTATATATACACTATTTATTTCTACATACATTTCTACATAAATAACATTATTTCTACATACATGAAACATTACTACATACATGAAACATTACTACATACAAGAAACAAGAAACACATGTTTTACTTGTTTTCTGAATTGTTTGGGGTAACCACTAATACATTCAAGCTTCATCTAGTAACAATTTTTATGGCTTTGAACATCCATTTTTCTTTTATACTCACTTCCTATGAAATGCACATATTCTCATGACTTTAAATTTTTTCCAATCTTTACAACTTCCATCTCTTACTGTATCTGTTTTTTTTTTTCCACACTCATATCTTGGACTTGTAAATCTAAACTTGTCAAAAACCAAACACATTAAAAAATTTGGTTCATTTACTCTCAGACTGGCATCCATTTTTGGCTTTCTGAATGCTAGAGTTAAATTGGAGAGTTGCAGTTCTGTTTACTTTGTCCCTTTTAGCTAAAAATCATTCAGCTCTGCTCATTCTTGCTTTGCAATGGCTTACAATCTGTATAATCATCACCTTTTACAGGTACTCCTTTCTCCCAAATTCTCACAATTTAGTCCATGTCCTCCTCAAATGATGGTTATATCCTATCACCCACCTATTCATGAGCTCCTAAGGAGTGTCTTCCTGTCCTTACTTGGATGAAAGCAAGCCTTTTTCATCTACACCCAGCATCTTTTTTCACTTGATCTGCTTTATGTATATGTTCATTTTTCCATATTCACCAACATGACCCTGGAATCTCTTGACCAGTGGAATCTCTTTAGTATCTTTTAAATTTTTTTTATTTTACATATATAGAGAGAGAGACAGAGACTTTCTCTGTCACCCAGGCTTGAGTACAATGGCACAATCATGGCTCACTGCAGCCTCAACTTCCTGGATTCAAGTGATCCTCCCACCTCAGTCTCCCAAGTAGGTGGGACTACAGGTGTGTACCACTATGCCCGGCTAATTTTTGTATGTTTCTGGTAGAGTCAGGGTCTCCCTATGTTGTCTAGGTTGGTTCTGAACTCCCGGGCTCAAGTGATCCCCCAGCCTCAGCCTCCCAAACTGCTGGGATTACAGGTGTGAGTCATCACTCCTGGCCCTGTTTAGTATCTTTGTAACGTTTTCTGCTTATTCCTATCCTTTGTTTTCCTCTTAGTCCTTTATCTGATCTTTTCTAAATATTTTTCTTTTCCTAATTTACACTTATTAATTCCTGCAAGGTAACTCAAACGTTCCTTCCCTTCAGCTCTTCCCATTTTGATCTGATCATTTGTTACAATCTGCATTTGACTTTCCCATATTTTTCTATTCTCTAATGATTCAGATTAGTTTAACAATTCTTTTTAAGTCAATTGTTTTTCTGCTTTGTTTTACTCTGAGTATAATCTCAAAAATGCAGTATGTGTTTGGAAAAGTTTTGCTGAAAAATGAACTAATGCATTCATTCATTCTAATTTTTATGTTAAAGAAAAAAATAGGCTACTTAGATACACATATTTCCTATTTAAATTCTCAAGTCTTATCAGTCCAATGAGTAAACTCATATATTAACTATCTTTTATTTTCTAAAGTCTAATACCATCTCAGAATTAATTTTAATTTCATGTTTCATATGATGATTTTATGTACAAACATAGAAAGTTTTATTCTGGAATTCTGAACTAAAGCTTGCCCCCCCACCATGACAAACACTGACAATCAGTACCATTTTAAAAGGTATCAGTGGTAAATGCCTTTCATTCTTGAGCAAATACAACATTGCTTTTGGCATAAAAAGACAGATGAAGTTTTAGGAGCTTTAAAAATGGTCTAAGAGAATAGCAATCAGCAAATCATCTTTTAGCAAATTGTTTTTACAAGCAAAGCCTTGGTGATACTTTCTGAGTTCGATAAAATAAAAAGTATACATTTTTAAATAGTAGAGTTACCTTTCCATTCTTCGATTGTGTGTTCTCTTTCATCCAACTGCTTGTCATATATCTGAGGTGGAGGCTGCCGAATAAAAACAAATAATAATCTTTGTGCAATAATGTAAACATGACTAAACTCTTACAATGCATGAGAATACCTTGCACTCATTTATTTTGGTGATTGGAACCGTATATAAATTACGAAGTAATTACAGTAGTTCAGAAGTTAAAATTTTCCCGTAAACTTATGGGGGATTCATTCATATTGCAATATTTGCTGATTGTTGCAATATTTGCTGATTGTTGCAATATTTGCAGCAGAACCCAAATCCTGAGAGCTCACTTTCTGACATCTTCTGATTTAGAACCCACGCCTAAGCAATTAATGACTGGTCTTTTAAAAAGCAGACAAAACACTTGATTACAATGGCCCAGAAGCTTCATTCTCCTTCATTCACTTGCCTTAGAAGAGAACCATGCTAAAATCCTTCTAGGCTAGTAAGATTGTGTTCTATTTTTAGACCTTCCCTGAAGAAAAGTTTATAATATTTCTCAACAGACCATAGTACTAGTCCTCAATACAAAAGAAAATTGAGACCAAATCAACCTTTTTATTTTTCATGAAATATCATAGAATACCTGTTTATATTGCTATGTGCCCTATACTTGAATGATTTTGAGCTTTTTGTTAATTTTAACCTGAAGAAACTGCCAGTTGACTGTAGAGGTGGGTCACCTTGAATCCCTGAATGGCCCTTGGTTAGTCCTCTCCAGTAGAAATGATGCGATAGGACCTTCAGTCTGACTTACAGAGCCAGCATTTCTCTTCCCATGTGGAGTTCAAATGTGGAAAAGGAGGGATTTTCACAAACCTATGTGCCTACCAGGAAGTAGAATCTCAAATAAATTCTCTGACCTCTTCTTCCCGATATTTAGACTTTAGGAGATCTATCATGGTGGCTAGGGTAGCTCCAATTCAGGCCAAGTGACATGGAAAGAAAAAAAATAAAAAGGCTCTTGGAAAACTAAATCACCATGGGGTAGAGAAAGACGAGGCTGAGGGGCTATACTGGTTGGCACCGGACTGAGCGCAAAGAAGAGCTATCAAGTTTTTGCTGCCCTGTCCAATACTCCAAAAGCAATAGTTTTTGTGAAAAACTAAAAGAGTCACTCAATAAGAGTGATGCAAGCCCTTTAGGACACAGACCTTTCGAAAATGGCTATTATAGTAAGGAAAGTGCTGGACAGGATTTTCAGAGACAGCTTCTGGCTTCTGTGAGAGCTTTTTGGCTCATGAGCAGCACCCTTGGGCTGAAGTGACCCTTCTCTAATTCATGCAAAATCTCTGGTAGCTTGAATCATGACAGACACAAATATTCACTCTAGCCCTGGCATGCTAGGGCCTCACATCCTGCAAAGTATCTGGCTATGAAAATAGAAGACTTGGCGCAACTGTGGTGAAGTAACTTAGCATAATACTGAGGTATTGAGAAATAACTACTCACGGAGCCAGACATTGTTTTAGCACCTTTGACTGTTACTGGGGCAGAAGGCTGTAAACCTTACCTACTGCAATTCAGAAGTGGCTGGCTAAGCAGCTCTCAGCAGCTGTCAGCACTGACAACTAAGCAAAACGAGACTCTCACACCACTCCAGACAATAGTAAGAATACAACATATGACCGTATATAGGTGACAGGACTGGGATAGTTAGGCACTGTTCTCAGGACCTGACTGAGGTAGAACCTTCCACCTCTATCAAGAACTCTCAAATAATAGAAACATTCTGACTTAGTGAGTGAATGAGTAAAATGAAGTTATTTTTGAAAAATTGTGAAACCATTACCTAAGGAAGCTACCACAAAGCCAAGTCTGGTTTTGTGAAGACGCTTTGCCAAGTGGTAAATTTCCGCCTTTGCCTCTTCCTGAGCGTGTGTAATGCTGTGGTTAGGCCCCCATCCAAGTGGCCTTGTCCAGGACCCCTGCAGGACTCAGTGTACTTAAGCTCTCAGAGTCCCCAGAGCCCTCGGAGCTGTTGGCACCTCCTTCTTCTTCTAACAATAGATCCAGCTCATGATCCTGCCTGGCTGGCTTCTCCATGCAGTGGATTTTTCCATTCAAGTTTTAAAATTGAACATGGCTCAAGAGTACAGTTCCTGCCAAAGTTCATAAATGCCATTTTCTTTTTGCAACAAAGCTATTTTGAGGAGGTTTCCCTAGGAGCCTCAGTGTACAGCTGTTGCTGATATAAAAAGTACGAAGTACACAGACGCTAATCACAAACCAACTGCAAGAGAGAAAGCAAAGTGCTGAGTTCAAGATTTTTCCTTTCAACAAACCAAGAGGGTGCATTAAACACACTTGAATTTACAGTATTTGTTCGACGGCCTCTGCAAATTTACTACATATTCAGATTTTTGTTTGTTTGTTTGTTTTTTAAAGAAGAAATGCAAATGTCACCTCCAGTGAAAGGGCACATGCACATACAGGTGTCTTCTATGTGACAATATAAAAGAATAATTGACCAATAATCCAAAGAGAGCAATGTTACAACACACACACGTAAGTGTTTGGCAGCAATCATCAGGATGAGATAGTCTGAAACATTCCCTGCCTCCTTCTGCTAAAGAGAAGTTGGTATTTGAGCACTCGCTTATGCTCTTTCCCCACCTTATTTAATAGGAATTATTCTCTTGCTAAGTGACAGTGTAAATAAAAAATAAATGAGGAGTGGGGATAAAGAAAAATGCCCCGGAGATGTCTGTTGAGAGAATATTTTAGGAGAGTTTAGCAGATAAGAATAATTTGATATGTGAGAAATGAAGGATAAGAGGAAGTTAAGGATAGTATATGGAGAGTTATCAGGGCCTGTGACTTTCACCCTTTGAATATTTTTTCAAAAGACTGTAAACATCTTTCCTAATATTTTGGGGGATTTGAACTTTACTTCCTTGGTTGAAATTACTGCAAACATTGAAACACAAATTTATATGGATTGCATAAACAATAACTTAAAATGGATTAGATATATTTCTATTGATGGTTAATTTTATATGAATTTATATTGGTGGTCAATTATATGAATTTTATACTGATGAAACATGTCCAAATTGTTTCAATTAAATGAGGAAGAAACACAAACAAGTACCTGGTCACTGTGAATTAATAAATACTAAAATTTATTGATTTCTTTATTAAATGTATTCATTCAGTAAAGGTCTGGACACCTAACACATGGCAGACTATATAAAAAACTGAGATTTCAAAACTGAATAATGTGATTGCTGACCACAAGTAGTTCACAATTTACTGGGGTAAGACTGATGCAAAACAGATCGTTAGCATACAACATGATAAATGATAGAAACATGTATATGGTCTAAGGGAACAGAGTGGAGAAGTCCTAACAAAGCCTGGATTTTATTTCCTGGAGTAAGTGATGCTTATTCAGTGAGCGAAAGATGTGTGGGAGGTTGTCAAGATAAAAGAAGGAGGACAAAAGGTGACTCTATGCCAAGAGCACATTATAAGCCAAGTCACAGTATGTAGAAAACAGAATAAGGGGGGTGGTGGTGGTGGTGGTAGTAGTGGTGGTGGTGCATGTGCTTCTCTGTGTGTACATGCATGCCAAGAAAACAAGAAGGGATTTTGTCACAGTAAAATAAAACATGTGGTGAGAAGTGACAAGATATAAGAGCTGTACCTAGAGAAGCAGAAGGGTCAGACAAAGGGTGAATCAAGGATGATCCAGGGGGCCAGGCACTGTGGCTCATGCCTGTAATCCCAGCGCTTTGGGAGGCCGAGGTGGGTGGATTATTTGAAGTCAGGAGTTTGAGACCAACCTGGCCAACATGGTGAAACCTCACCTCTACTAAAGATACAAAAATTAGCTGGGCATGGTGGCAGGCACCTGCAATCCCAGCTACTCGGGAGGCTGAGGCAGGAGAATCACTTGAACCCGGGAGGTGAAGGTTGCAGTGAGCCGAGATTGTGCCACTACACTCCAGCCTGGGTGACAGAGTGAGACTCTGTCTCAAAACAAACAAACAAACAAACAAAAAGATCCAGGGTATTATGATATGGAAGAAAGAAAGAAGAGAAATCACTGAAGAGTGTAAGAGAATGGCCCAGTCAAGTTTACAGGTGGATTGAAGAAAGATGAAACTGCAAGCAGGGAGAAGAGGTAGGGAGCCATTGCATGATCTATAAAAAATATTAAAAGTTCTGACTGTGGTTAAAAAAAAAAAAAAGAAAAAAATGAGGGTGAATGAAAAATACAGATTCAGGTACAATTAATAAATATTAATAAATAAATTTGGTAGAATTTGGTTTTTGACTGAACGCATGATGTGATGGGAGAGAAGAATATGAGTCCCCAGTTTCTAAGCTGAGTACCCAGGAAGATGATGGTGTTGGTGAAGCCATGTAAAGAAATCGAGAATGGAAAAGTGGAAATGAGATTGGTAGAGAGGTGAGCCTAAGCACTATGTGAAAAGAGATGTTGATTTGAAAGTTAAGTATATAATCTGACGTTCAGAGGAATGCTGTTGGATACAGATGTATAGATTTGAGACTACCAGCAAGAGATGTTTGTTGAAACTATGACAGTGGATGAGGTCACCCAGGGAATTATGTGGATATAGAGAGTAAATGGTCAAATCAAGGTTTAAAGATTGGACAAAGAAAGATAAGTTCACAAAGGAAAAATAGAACAGCTAGAGAAATACATGAAGAATGAGAATATTGCAATGTTATAGAAGTCAAGCAAGTAGAATTTCACAAAAAGTAAGTAATTGGTTGTTTCTTGCAAATGAAGCGCATAAAGATTTTGACTCTCAGGGCACCAGCAATGCATGATAGAAAGCAAGCCTCTGAACCCTTTGAAAGCTTCCGAACTTTAAATTGCTATCACCCCCAGAAAGATCCAGATAGATCTTCGGTGGAGAACATTAATATGAGACATCACCTAAACAATTGAAAAAAATGTAGAAAAAGATTTTCAACACCAATATAACTAAAAGGAAAGAAACTATAGAACAATTGTGACACTAGAAAAAGTATAATGATCTCAGATCTACTCTCC